ACACACACACACACACATACACACACACGCGCGCGCACTCGCACACACACACACACGTTCACTCAAACTCACACATACACATACACACATACGTGCATGCACACTCAAATACACACTCATGCACGCAGGAACACACACACAGACATCCACACACGAGCGCGTAGATACTCACGCACGCACGCGTGCGCGCGCACACACACACACACACACACACACACACACACACACACACACAAACACATTATGCTCGAGCGCGCACGCACATGTTCAAACACAGGCACACGTACAAACACAAACAATTAATACAATAATATAACCAGCATAATATTATGGATATTTTTACCTTGCGATGTTGATAAATTATGTCATCCGTACACAGCTACTCAATAATACACACAGATATACACAAAACAGACTTTCACATACCCAAACACAGCCACGTATATATATTATTATAGCCAACATATTATTAATGCTTTTTGCCCAGTGTTCTAACGGTACATGCATGAAATGTAATACCTCGTGTAGTAAAAAGGCGTTTCGCCGTCGCTTGCAGCAGTCATGAATTCCACTCCATGCGGGAAGGTTTTTGGTTTTACTCTTCAATCGAGGATCTGACTGTCTGCTGGGATTTTGTATCCCTCTCTCAGCTGGGATGGCCCCGAAAAACAGTGTCGAAGCAGTCTGCCTCCTTGATGATCTATACATGTATATTATACTTTATAGTGCCAGATGGGGGCGTAACACATTAAATATTATGATTGTAACAACATGCACTCTTCGTCGTTTTCTTGTAGTGTGGACCTTTTCCCGACCATCATTATAATATGTACATGTATTTATTTTTGAATCTATTTATTTATTGAGCACTCTCACCGGTGTTTGTCAGAAAATCCAAAGGGGCTCTTGTGGTTCAGAGGTTAAGGCCTCTCATTCAATATGTCCCGGGTTCGAATCCGAGTAGCGACCGAAAAATTTTCTTCTCTAAATTTGTCTCCTTTCACCTCATTTCCTGCTCTCTAGCAATGTTCTGTCGTCTGCTTTCGTCTCCTCTTTCTGCCCCCACCCCCTCACCCCCTTTGCCCCTTCCTCTGGGCTCCTGATTCTTTCTGCAGCCTTTCTACTGCTTCTCCTTCGCTTCTTCTTATTGCTGTCTTTCAGCCACACGCCTGATCTTCGGCTAGGAAAGATCTACACCTAACCTTCTCGGACAAGGGCGAGAAATCTCGGAGGGCCCGTGTGCAAGTTGCGCACGTTAAAGATCCCTTGGTGGTCTAAAATCGATAAGAGTAGGCTTCGGCCGCCACCTGGGCAAAATTCAAAATTTCCTACCGACTGAAAAAGTTTAATGTGTCCCGCGCGCTCATATTATGACCTTATGCAGTTGCGAGCGCCGTAAATCATTTACAAAAACAAAACTGAACAAACAAATTACAGCTGTCTTTCAGCCACACCCGTGATCTTATGTTGGAAAGATTTACTACACCTAGCCCTCTCGGACAAGGGCTTAGGGCGAAAAATCTCGGAGGTCGCGTGTGCAAGTTGCGCACGTTAAAGATCCCTTGGTGGTCCAAAATCGGTAAGATGAGTAGGCTTCGGTCGTTATCCGGGCAAAATTCAAAATTTGCATTTTCAATTGAAAATGTTTCATGTGTCCCGCGCGCTCATATCTCATACGGGGAGATATCGAGTATATCAGAACTCTACATCACATCCCCCTTAGCCCGGGGTGTTTGTCTCTGAGAGGCAGGGTTGAAAAACGCGTCATTCATAACGGATCTAAATCAGTGCCTGTCAACCTGATAATTTTGATGGGCGGTGGGGATCACAGGGAGGAAGTGACAGGTGTTGTTTTATGTCGCGTTTAGAAATACGTTACATACTCGTAGCTGGGCTGTGTGAACATTTTAGCCTCTCTAAGGTGGCAACACTGGGCGCTGCTTAAAAAACAAAAACTGCAAAAAAAAGAACCAAAAAAAAACGTTGACAGGTAGTGATCTAGATTGTGTCTATAGGGGCGTAAAAAAACGCCTATATATACATATATATATATATATATATATATATTGAAAAATAAAATTTCCTTCCTGTGTCTTGTAAGTAAGTAAGTTTACTCAAGTGTTTCAGACTTCTGGCCCTCATCACATCATGTAAAACTGCCATTATTTAAACTAAATAACGTTTCCATAATGAAAGAGTACAGGTTGTGCACATATCTTCTTTATCATGGGTCAAACAAAGCATACTTCTGTCACTGGGCCGAGTCAGGCTGGAAGGAATTAACAACTTCCTTTAATGGACAATAGAAAATAAAGTGAAAATCATCTTCAATTTCATCAGAGTTACACCTCACACATAAGGGTGAATTTATTAAATTTCCACCGATAGATTTGGGTTTTTTTGTGAGTGACGAGAGGAAGGCATTAATGGCAGATGGGTTTGTTCCGAGGCATTGTTACTTAATCTATACTCTGTTACATTTTTTTTTTTAGTATACATGGTGTTAAAATGAAAATAGCTAGTTTCACAATAAGCCGATATTCTTTTTTAAAAAAATTCAGGAATACTTATTCAATCAATTTTAAAAACGAAAAAAAGCAACAATACGGAAAGTTAACATAACGTTAACAGGTTTATTCCCGACTTCCAAGAGTGTCGGGGTCTACAAAAGTAACACGGTTAGTTGTGCGTATGATGTCCGCTTGCGTTGATGACGGCCTGACATCGTCGCCGCGTGGAGTCAATCAATCGCTGCACTGCCTGTAGAGGATGTTATTTCTCTCTTCATGCTATGCTCTCTCCCAAGCTGAGGAAGCTATATAGCTAGTCCAACTCAAAAACATAATGTGTATGTTGTGTGTGTGTGTGTGTGTGTGTGTGTGTGTGTG